GATGTGCACTTCTAAGAAGTCCCGCACTGGGATAAACTAACCATTCAATGCTTCCAGATTTCTAATAATTGTCTAACATTGGTCGGTTCATGATCTCAAATATACATTAAAAAGAAATTTCTCAATAATCATTTGAGTTTTTTGAAGTTTCTTCTTTCAAATGATTGATTATTGCATCAAATGGATTATGTGTTATCATAACTTACTAAATCACTAGTTTTCAATTCATAGTTCATGGTTAGAAAATTTATCAAAATATTTCACTTATGATTACTTTGAGCGAATATTCAAGGAATTCGTATTTTTTTGCTCGTAAGCACCTCCTAGTAGTGTGAATGATCAAGGATTTAGTTAAAATGATAAATAGTTCCATCCTAGGTTATTTAGTGCAAATAGTTCATATAACCAACATGGATCAGTTGCTTGACGGTCCTCTTTGGAAAAATTAATTTGAATTATTAACTGGGGAACCTGATATGAACTAATCAAAGAAAATTCTTCGTTTATATATATCTGGGTTTTTAATAGGACAGAAAATTTCCAATCACTAGAAAAGGAATAATTTACTATATAGCAACTCTACTCAGTAGCTGAGATCATTAAAAAACGTTTGGTTTAAGTCAAGAACTTATGTCGGCTAGCCGATTTTTGAAAAATGTATGGTGAGCTGAGGTGTTTGTAATAATATCTCTATAGAACCATTTAATTGCTAAGTAATTTTCAACAGTTTTTGGTGGAGTTTTGTTCTCTGAGTTGGATGGTTTGGTCGTGTCTCTGAGCTGGATGGTTTGGTCGTGAAATTATTTCATTCTTATTAACGATTGAAAGCGTTGTACATTAAACAAAGAATTATTTAACTTCATTACTTATATGTTTACTATCGGAATATACAATTTATCTTTACTAAATAATAATAGTAATAATAATAATACAAGATAATAGATAATATGAGTTTAATTTATATATGTATATATATATTCGAGGACAGTTGTTCCACTATAAACCGATGTCAATTGAAGAAATCTTGCAAATTAGAAAGTGTCAAGATAAGTAGTGTTTTGCTCTAGTTTTGAACTGTTCAACAGTGATCGTTCTTATTTAATATGCATATTTATTTGCGAACTTTTCATTAAGAAAAGTAGAACTTTAATTATTTTTACTATTATTATTAATATCACTATTAAAACACCGATACAAATTCATGGAACAAATGCATGTTTTTATTCAATTCTATTTATTCGTAAATGATTTAACGTCAATTTTAAACATTGACATTTCGATTTTCTATTCATTCAATGAATAAGTTCACTTGCTTTATGTTATTTGGCTCTTTTCCATATTTTTTGGGAGGGGGGTGATAGGGTGATGAGTGAGTTGAGAAAGAAACCTGTTTCTATGCTATCTTATCTTCGTTTTGTATTTCGTGTCCACCACTTCTTCATTTTCAACTGCATCTTTCTCGTTTATATTTTTCCCTTCTTAATTATTGTCATTATTTGAAAGGTTGATGAATATATCACAGTGGTCCATACAGATCAACCATTCATGCAAAAATGATTCAAATAGATAGAAATGACAAAAAGAATTAGAATAAGTTAGATATAGAGCTGAATAGGGAGGGAGAAAGTGACAGAGATTATGTATGTGTTTATAATCGTTTTACTCTCCATAGACCTACTATTGCATTACATCTATTCATTCATTTGTCCAAGTATATTCAGTTAAAGAAATACCCTTTCGCATTTAAAGCACAAATAATCAAATGTAAAAAACAAAACACAACAACCAAACAAAATGCATAAAGTAAAACCAGTCATAATATTGATATTAAAAGTGCCATAAAAATGAGTACTTGTTGACATGGAAAATTCAAGTATACCATAATATATTTTCTTGTGTCAATGAATAAGTATACTTTCCTTTTATATTTCTAATATCATCACCACCCCCTCTTTATTATGATCATTGTTTATACCGTGTTCTTTTGTGTTACTTTTTTATTTTGGCGTCTAACCAAGAGTAGAGAGTAGCATAAGTTAATATATATCATTTGAATATATGCATATAATTAATTATAGTATGTAGTCATTCCTTTTATTTCTTTCAATTATTCAGTATATATTTAAAATATGATAGTTGATTTGTCTCGAATGCAGTTCAGTGGTTAGTTAGTCAGTTACTTGATGAAGAAAGTAATTTCGATTAAACTTAATAATAAGTTTAATCGAAATGTTATTATTATTATATTTCATATTCATTTATGGATAATTGTCAATGATAACTGACTAGTAATGCGTGCATTTCTAAGCATGCAACTCCATTTATATAAGTAGAGTGTAGGCATTTATGTATATATATATATATATATATATATATATATATATATATATATATACTTATCAAAATACAATTCGATAAAGTTTGATTAATTAAACAATAGGCTGAAAATGAGTATCTATCATACTAATGATGGTGGTGATGGTGATGATGATGAATGAAAGGGGACGGAATACAATTGTCCAGTGATTCCTTTTTAAATCTAGTTGTATACTGTTGAAATCGTATTTTTTTGTGTGCTTTTCTTTTCTAAACTGGTTTTTATATACATCAACTTGCATATGTACAGCTAAATAGTCCCAATTAAATTTTCGTTGTTATATATTTTCATTATTTTGTCGTTTATGTACATTTGTCGTTAGTTTTTTCTGTTTATATACTAAAGTCAATTTAAATTTTAAATATTGTGGTATCTGTTATTGCTTGTGGTAAAGAACTGTTTCCCATTCAATGTAATTGAACTCTACCGGTCATGGCTTATCAATAAAACTCCTGAAATTACTTTTTGAAGTTAATCACCAGTGAGTAAATGATTGCATTGGTTATAAGGGTCAGTAGAAAAAGGCGAATGTTTTTCACTTTATCACTGTTTATAGTACAAAATGAAATATAGTCTCTCATTTAACTGAAGTTATATATATATATCAGCATAGAATTATAAATTTTATTTTAACAGTTAAATTCATGAGCCTATCTAATCTAGACCATCATTGAGAACCTAGAATCACTAGATGGCCGTTTCGTTCTAGTATGGGGCTCCTCAACAGTGCACATCCACGATCTGGCACGTGGGACTCGAGCCCAAAACCACCGACATCAAGCGCATACGCTTAACCTCTAAACCACTGAGCCGTCAGTCGAAAGTATCTAATTTCAACAGATTCATGACTTTGCGCAACACTTCATCCATTGTCTGAGGTGAATAGCTTTTTCCATCCAACACGGATTGGGGCTTTGTGGAGATTGTAGTAGTTTTGATAGTTGAAATGACAAGTTCATCTAAGCTGATGATTCCAGGTTTTCAGTGGTGGCTTAGCTTAGATCGATTGATGAATTCAACTATGAAGATTACTACAATCTCCACAAATCTCCATTCTGTTAAATTTTCTTCCCTGTTAGTCTTTTTTGAAAATCTAAAACAAAGTCAGATTAAGAACAGAATAATCATTAATGACTAGAAATTAGTTCACATCAAATAAATCATTGTTTTTACTGACAATTTTACAATATTATATTTTCCTCTATGAAAGTAGTATGGAATAAGCTTCATAGAATTAATAAATGTTATTCAATTAAAAAAGTCTAAATGATTTTTCATTATTTCATTTCGATGGAAATATCTTATTATAAGAAAATGGATAGAGTTATTACTGTTATTATTGGGTAGTTTAGTTCTACTCCACTTTAACCTACCTCTTTATGTACAAGTGAAAAAAAAACACAATTAAAAAGCATAGAAATAATAGTTCAATGTTTATAGACCTCTGATTTCATTTTATTTTTTGAAAATTAGAATAGTCTAATATGCATTAAAGGATTGTAATGCTACGTGTGTAAATTAATTATTCCACTTGAAAATATAACTTTCGTTTTCTTAGTTTATTACCAGAAAAAAAAGAAATAAACATTTTTACAAGGCAACTTCAAATTATTCATCTTTACACTAGTTATTTGTGTGAACATCAACTCTATGATCCAGGTACACCTAGTTGACGAGTCCCGAAATAGGACGAAACGCGCGTCTTGAATTACACTGCTAGTCATGATTCATCTCTGTTTGTAATTTTGAATTGTATTTCTTTTCCCTCTAATTTGTTAATCATACAACCAGTATTCTCTGAACGTAGTTTGAAATGATGTTTAAAATGATTTTGAAAGTAACCATTGAATATTTAAGTTTATTTAAAAATTCATTTACTTTTTATTAACTATTTTAACTTTAATTGTACAATGTAGATTACTACTCGATAAGAGGGCACTATTGGTCTACATTTTATGTCGTCTGCTTAAATATATGCATATATGTCTACTTTTAAATTTCATTGGAATTAGGAATAAACACTGTATTATAATTAATTATTAATTCTCTCGTTTACTTGTCATTAAAAGGAGGTTACAAAAATAGATACTCTATTTAACAACATGTTTGGTTATATTGAAGAGTTGAATTTCACAGTTAATTTACATGTTTAACTTTTTAGTCACCAGTTTCGTAGTTAAATTTCCAAGAAGTATATGTCCAATGATAATTGCTATCGTTTTCGCAATACTTATAGCATTTCACATCAGCAGATATCTCTGCCCAATAAATTGTCGTCATTTGAGTTTACTACTTATAAATTACTCAGTAGCTAAATATTTTAAATCTAATTTTGGTGGTCAAATTACATGAGTGGAAGAATTCTTACTTCTGTAAACGCTTTTCTTCCATTCTACTTTCATTTGATAGAGTGAATGCTCATTTTTAGTGTATGCAACCTGACTAAATAAAATAATTGCCTTTGAAAATATTTGGTACCATTTGAATACATGGATACGATATAATGTAATAATGATAATAAAATCATTGAACGAAGTATTTTGTTTTGTTTCTTTTAAGCAATTAATTGTTATTCGTATAAGTTTTAACTAAGAATTGTTTTTCTCTTATTTTATTTATAAAGAATTCGGAAAAATCACAAATATGGGAAAATAGTAATATGAAATTGGAAGAAGGAAATTGTTCATTGTTAAATAAGACAGCACTTCCGTCAATAGTGACAACGAAACACGAAAGGTATGATTAATTTGCTAGTGTTTCTTTTTCAATTTGTATGATTAACTTACATATTTTAATGTGTAAATACTTCGTTTGTATTTTATTAATGAATTATAATTCTTTGATTAGACCTATTAGTGAGAGGTTGATGATGTTAACTCATCTACTAATTATTTAATTTAATTTAATAAGGAAATATTTATGAAAATGTTTGTGTATATGTGCCTGTTTAACTGAGTTCCTGAGTTTCCAGTTTTCTTTATTATTTTTAAATAGAATCTGTATTATAACAGGTTATATGTCTAAATCTTAATTGAATTATTTGATGAAGAAATAGAATAATAATGATCTTTATACGAAAAAAACAGCAATGATAACAGTTATTCAATTCTTTCAGATATTCAGTGATAGTCTAACTAATTAACCAACTAACATATCATATAGACTTTAAAAATTTAACAGGTCCCTGAAAAACCTCTTCACTAAAAAACATATCCATTTGAGGTTCAGTATAAAATCTTAATTTTTACTTTAAAATGTTGAAAATTACTCTTCATCAAATGAATATCGTGAACTACTTTAATGTTCAAATTATACGCATGCGTACGTATTACATAATACTTAATGTTTACAAATGTTTAAACAGAAATTCTCTTTATTAGAGAGTTGATGAGTTTCTACGATAGTTTTCACATTATTAGATTTAATTTATATGAATCGTTAAATTAAAGATTAATTTCAGATGGGTTTTGTGAATATTATAGTAATTTCAGTGATTAAGATCATGAGTCAATTGAAGCTAGACCACCATGGAAAACCTGGAAACACTGGACAGCCGTTTCGTCGTATTGTGGGACTCCTCAGAAGTGCGCATCCACGACCTTGCCCCCTGCGAGATTCGACCTCAGGACCTACTGGTTTCGCGCGCGAGCTCTTAGCCACTAGATTACTGAGCCGGCATTCAACGGTGTTAATGTCTAACTTCAAACAATCCACGAAATTGAGCGACACATCCACCATTGTCTTCAGTGAGTTACTATCTCACAATAGACCTAATTGAACTCCACTGGTCACTACTTCTCACTGGAACTTCAGGATATACCTCTTGGAGCCAGTCACTAGTGAGCATATGTTGATTAATATCAAATGGGTTTTGTGGATATTATAGTAATTTCAATAGTTAAGATCATGAGTCAGTTGAAGCTAGACCACCATGGAAAACCTAGAAGTACTGGATTAATTTTTTTCCTTGAATCAAAAATTCAGTTTATACTACTTTTTTTCAATTTGAAAATAGTATTGATTATTAATATTATTAAAAGCATAATAATTTGACGAGACTATAATTTATGAACGAACTAATCATATTTAAGATAACAGATCCTGAATTTTGTTACGTAATTCATTCATTCATTCATTTGGTTAAATATCATTTTATTATTATAGCTAATGTCAGTTCCTGATGAAAATATTAAATCTAATCTTTAACCCTAGCATTCAATTGTAAATCCTAATCCTTATTCTTTACACTTAATCTATAATCCTAATTTAACTCGAATATAGTAGGTGGATATCCCAAAGTCATTTTGATGTTATTCAAATGTCATTCATAAATTATAGTCTTATCACATTCATTGTGGTATTTAAAAACAAATATAGTTTTCTGTTAATTAAAATGATTTGTTTGAATAAAAGACAATATCAGTGCATTTGAATGAAAATATTTGATAATAAAAAGATTGATAATAATAATAATAATCATTGTTTCACAATTGATTGATCACTTGGTGGCGATCAATGTCATGTGTGTCTAGTCCTTATTAGTGCAGATCGAATGCCACCAGTCTAGGTGAATCGATATTGCGGGCACTATATATTAAGATTAGATCAATCAATCAATCAATCAAACAATTGTGATTACATCTCAGTCCTACAGGAGGTCGGTCGCAGCTCGGATAGCTCAGTGATAACGTCTCTGACTGTGAAGCTGGGTGACGCGAGATCGAATCCGCCAGGGAGCACCAGTTCTCTCAAGATTACAGGTACACCTTGCTGACGAGTACCAAGTAGCACGAAACCCGGGTCCAGGGTTTCCTGTCGACTACCTCCAACCACCATATAATCATTGTTTAATTATTGAATTGTATGATTACTTCTACGATTTAATTAAGATTCAATGATTAATTTGAGAGAGAAAATTAGCGCCGAATAACTTATTTAAATTCTATTTTAAGTCTATTGTTGTTGTTGTTTAAAATGATACTTTGATCATCATTTGTTTGTTTTCTTAAATATAAATTTCTCATTATAGATAACAAATAACATGTAACCTATTAAATCAATAATACATGAATCTTGATTTTGTAATTACTGTTTTCTTGTTTACTTCTTTTATCTAGTAACGCTTCTAATCCTTTTAAACAACAACAACAACAACAAATTATTCATGTCGGTCCATCATTGAATATTCAAAATCAAACCGCAACACTTTGGTCAAATTTTGATTGGACAATATTAACTAATTATGAAATTAAATTATTATTAGAAAAATTACATTCACTTGGTAAAATATACGGTTGTATTGATTGTCAAACATATTATTTAGATGAGAAAATGGCAACTTATCATTTAAGTAGTATGCATGGAAATTTAAATGATCAATCGTCATCATCATCATCTTCATCATCAGGATCATCATCAACAGCAGCAGCAGCAGCAGCAGCAGCAACAACAACAACATCAGCATCACCGTCAGTAGATAATAGTAGTAAAAAATTTGAATGTTTTCTATGTGGTGTAAATTTAAATAATTCTTTATTATTTTTAGAACATTTTACTCATTGTTTATCAATGAAAAAACATAATGGGATAGATTTAATGATGAAACAAACTACTACTGACCCATTAACTATTCTTTCAGATAATAAAGCCACTGATAATAATAATAATATGTGTAATGAGTTGGATAAGAATGAAGATGAAAACATCAGTGAACAATCAATAAATGAAACAATACAAATGACAAATATTAAATCACAAGAATCACATACTGTTTCATCGATTATAGACTATTGTAATAATAATATTAATAATGATAATAATCCTGTATTGAACAATATCAATGATCAATCAGAAATCAAACTGAATGGTTATTGTATAGAGGAGAGAGATGAAGTACATGAAAAAGATGATGATGATGATGATGATTTGCATACATCATCATCACCACCATGTCATATAACATTCTCTAATTCTGTAGATCAATTAACCGGATAATCTATTGATAATTTATGAATGAATATCATATTTTCATTTTTCTTTCATTTCAATAAAATCAAAATAAACTAACAACATTATTCAGTCTATATAAATATAAACATATATATTATCTAACCTGATATTTCACATCATGTTAATCATTTGTTACTAAGAGAAAAAATCAATAATGTTTGATCAGGAAAACAGTATACAATTTTCTCTTCTTCTTGTCTTACTACTATATCTCTTCTAATTCAATGTTTGTTTATCTGTAATGCCCAAATTCTATTTTAATCGTTCATTTGTTTGTAGTCATTTTATTTGGTTTTTTGTTTTGTAAGTTTGTTTGTTTATTTATTTGTTAGTTTTTTTTCTATTTTACACATACACACACACATTAAAACATGAATTGATACATTGAATCCTACTGCATTTAAACTAACTCAGGTATTAATGTAACTATATATATATCAGTTCAAGTTATGGAAGGAAACAAATGATTAATTAACCTCCCCCCCCCCAAAAAAAACATTTCTGTTTACATTTTGTACAGTTTATTAATTCGAAACTATTTTTGTGTAATCGGTTTTTTTCTCGCACTTTTTTTCTAGAAGACTAAAACAAGACAAACTATTACCAATGATCAATGCTTATTAGTAAACACTATTGTTATTATTATTATTACAATTACTATTATTATTGTTATTAATGATAACGATGATGATTGTATGTTTTCAATGTCCGTTTCTTTGTTTCTTACCTCTGCCTATTTTTCCAAAATATACATTAAAAGGAACTCAAATTTATTTATTCGTTCACAGTGATTTTTTATTCAATTGTCTGTTAAATTTTTGTCTATTTGTTTATATTTTTTCATGGATGTAAATTTTCTTTCTGTTTTTTCCCTTGTCTGTAAAAAAATGACTCGACGGTAATCATAATGACATTAATGATGATGAGTGCCTGAGGAAGTTACAAAATGTAGACTTACACACAATTTGTATGTATGACTATGATGGTATTTCTTTAATTAGGATGATCATTTTTATCATCTCTGCTGCTTTAGACCAAAGTTGATTCTAAAAAAAGCATAAAAAGAACAAGATTCTTTCGTTGTATCGATTTGTCTTTCGTGTTAGTGACTAACTGTTAACTAAGACAGTACTGTTTCAGAGAATATTACTAGTATTAAAAAAAGTTAAGAAGAAGACCGGGGAGGCATGTAAACAGTAAATGGGAACATAATAGAGGAACAGCTAATTATAATAATGATAATAGTAGCTAAAGTTAAAGATATAACTGTTTTTCTTGTAAGTAAATGCATGTTATGCCACAGTGTACAATGTTAAATGATCAACTTCTTGTCCTTCTTTACTACTGTTTTTTTCGTTTGTTTTTCTTACTGTTTCTGTTACCAGCATTCCGAATTTTTTTCAAGCATATATTACTTGGTATGTTTCAAAAAATTAATCAAAAAATATATTATGAAAGTTTTTGGTCCTCTTTTATTTATCACCTTTTATATTATCCAAGAACACACACTTATATAGTCTCTTAAGAGGATTCAGATATGACAGAATTTGATAATACCAGTAACTGAGTCTCTTCGAACGAAATAATCTTCAAATCAATGGAAGAAGAAAGGGTTATTGTAGAATAGACATTTGTATTTCATTGCATAAGCATGTAAATTAATATCCAACTATTAAGTTGGCTAGCCACCGGAAGAGACGGATTTCACGACGAAATGATAAGTGGCCTACTACGGATGCTTGACTGAGAGCCTTCAACTAGTAGTGTGCCTATTAAAACTGAAACGATCAGTATTAGTGTTAGACGCTTACGAACCTACTTCTTTTGAGGAATTACTCATAGCTACATTACCGTACTCATATACATATGTATGCTCATTGTCTTTATTGAAAAGATAATCTGAAAAGCTATTAAATAACTTGTCAATATAGGTATGAGACGAATTTAAATTTGAAGCTTAAACAAACGTAACCTGTAAAAATAGTCGTAGACTTTAATTGACAAAGTTCTCATCACTTACATGATACAAACTGAATAATATGCAACAGGTTATTGAGATTGATGAACCTAACTTTAAATATAAAGCTTAAAACAAATATATATAAAATTAGCAGAGGAGATTTTATTAACAGTCCGCAGTCAAGTGCAAACAGCTATGGAGATGGTAATAAACTTATTTTGTTTGTATTTGTTATAGCCCAAAGCCGCCAATCAGAATCAGCGAATTATCGATCGGACCAAGGACGCGTAAAACACTTTCGAGCAGTCTAGAGTCCTGATTGGTCCTGCTTTCCGCCTAACCCAGCCAGTTAAGTCCAGAACACCAGTCTCAGCCTATGTAATATGAATTATTATATTTCAAACATACTGAGTTTACATACCAATCAAACAGCCCACAACGTAGCATAAAATAGAAAATAACATTTGTACAAAATTTGGCCAAATGTGGCTGTGAATGTTGGAGGCAGTGACTAATAGATAGGGCATAATTCAAGAATGGTAAAACGTATAATAATGGTTCATAGGTCAAAATAAAGCTTATAATAAGAGGAATGTAAATATGAATAGTTTAGTTACTTAACAAATATACGATAAAAATATATGTTTAGTATTGGTCCATAAAAGGATCCCAAAGTTACCATTCATTATGTTTCTTGGGACCTAACAGTATTATATATGTTTGTAGGCCTGATTGAGAATGGAAAGTCTTATCTTTGTTATAGATTTTCTTAGTTCTAAGAAATGGAACATATTCCATATTCCATCTTTACATTTAAGAGTATTACAAGATATTTAATGACATTACAGTTAGTCAACCTTGAAACATGGTAGATTTTCGGAATTTTTAAAAAAATCCTTGTAAATAAACGGTAAGTTAAGTTCCCTAAACTGACAGATAGATTCATTGATTCGTAAATCATTTTATAATTCTTTGTACGCATAACGTTTGAGAATTATTCTCACAAAGATCATAAAAAGATTGATCTTGTTAGTTTATGTCTTATTTTTATATTTAATATTAACCAATTGAATTTACAAGTACTTGGCAATGTTTTTAACTTTGAGTATGATACTATGGTGCGTGCTAATTATATTGATATAAGTAGTATATGACGCGAGTTAGGAATGTAATGTCTGGCAGCGGAAGATGAGGAAGATTAAGAAAGGAAGAGCAGGAATAGAAAGCAATTAGTATGGAAATGCAAGAACAATGAAGTTCGAGACAATTATTGAACATTTTGCAAATTGAGTATTATAATATGGTTTTTCTATTTTATCAATTAACTTTGTAATTTTGTGCTACATGTAATTCGATTGTCCCCATCTGTGTTCTATTCACTACAATACTACTTTTCAGCTTTTAGAAATCCGCTTATTATGTTGAGAATATTTATATAGTTATTTAGGATTATCAAATTGTAATAATTAGGAAAACAAAGTATTTTTTTCAGACATTAAAATTTTTTTTGTAAATTATAACACTTGGTCAAGATTACCCAAAGATTGTTAAAAAAGAGATCTAAAACAATGTGGTTAAATGTAAACGAGTGAACCTGATTGAATGTGCTTGTCTTAAGGTAGTAGGGTTTCTGGAACCAATAGTTATTACATTACTAGGTGGGTTTTAACATGAAAAATAATAAAGAAAAGCTTCGAATGCAGAAAGACTAAGGAGAGATGACTGTATGAAAACGTAAATTAATAAATATATAAATTTACTAATTAATAATGCAAACAGTGGGAACAAACTGAAGTGTAAGAATAAATGGTAAGTGGAGATAGTAATAAACAAGATAGAAATAAGTTAATGGCTTGTTATAGTGACGATAGCATATAGTTTATAAGACGCTTCAGGTACAGCTAGTGCATGTTGGAGATAGCAATCCATAAGTGGGTACGTGTTTATGAAGTCTGTTAAAACTAATCACCGAAAGGGCTGTGGCCATTTTGTCTGGGATAACATCCTAATATGAAATGGGGTCGTACATGAGTTTTCACCCTTTTGGGGGGTCGCCTAGTAAAGCTCGGTTGTTTGGTTCTGGAAGGACGTTTTTACTAAGGTGACTTGACTCACCCAGCATGTTATGCACTATTCTCAGATCACATCTTATTCTCTAAAACCCGCAATAATAATCACAAATTACGTGGTCTATCTTCACCAGATTTATTTCGCAGTCGTTTGACCCAATTTCTTGAACGTCTTTGTGCTTGGTCTCTTTTGAAGTGAGAGGGCCCAACAACCTCATGGACGTCAAGGTGAGGCCGTGGATACGTTTAAAAGCGTCGGAAATAATTCTGGGATAGTGGCCCCGAGCTGTATTGACAAAACACAAGGAGTGGCATTTGATTTGGTTACATCCTCCATGTAGTTTGAGCTAGTGTCCAAGCTCTCTTTGGTTGATAGTCCTAGATCACGCTCTGTGGAGACAGTTTGTAGGGTGTTAATCACGGAGGACCTAAGTTATTTATTCTTCAAAGAGCTAAATGTTTTTAAAATGACATCCAGACAGGTTGGCTTATAATGCATCGTCCATTGTCCTGTTCTCAGTTACTAATATTGAGGCGCCTTGCCTATTTGTTGGAGTAGTCTGCTATTGATAACTGGTAATTAATTGTATATTCTTAGCAATTCATAAATAATCCTCACTTTATAATTGACTGGCTACCTTCAGGGCGGAACGATTTACCCAGTCCTTTATATTTTGGTAAAATATTGTTCCTTGATTGATGGGAATATTTTTCTTGTTGTGATAATTGGGTTTTATCAAGTGTTCATACCTATTGTTCAGGTAGAATTAGTCTTGTTTGTTGGTACGTTTTTTCTAGTAATACTTCTTCTACCCCATCTCATGCGTCCATCACGTTATTATTAGGCATTACTGGCTACAATCGTCTTTTGATTTATTTGAACCCAAAACAGCGTGAATTCCGAGAACTAACGGTACTGACAATGAAACCCCTCAAACTCTGAATCTAATATGAAACTTTAGAAATATTTTGGGTTTGCTTAAACTTTAGCTGCTAGATAGATCTACAAATATCTCCTATCGCTTCACACTTCAGCATTGCATTTATTTCTCAATTTCAGGAGCTGCAGTCAGAGTCTTCTGGGGAACTTTCCATTTATTCTACACTCACTTTTTTGGATGTGGCGGG